GATTCCCATATTTTTTTTGTATAAAGATGGAGGAGTAGAAAGCCAAAAACCTTTCTTTCGAAAAAATTATTCTCTCTTAAAAATATCCCTCTTACAATTTTGAACAAGATTCCTATAGCTGGGATTTGATCGAATAAGCGAATAAATGTCATTACGTAACTGTCATCGATGACATGAGTAGACATGTTCGGGACATGAAGTCGTAATTTCATGATTGAATTGAGTGTTTCATCGTAGGATGTTATCCAGATTTGGTGCTGAAGAGGCGATAAGTGTCTTAAGCCGAAACAGCAGATGTCCACCAGCGAGGATGACAGTGTTCAATGTAAGTGAAATTTCACCTCTTTCATTTACTATATTGTGTAGGAATCCTGTGAATAATATCTTATTTGATTTCATTACGAATCTTTGGAATAAAAACGGAATAAAGAAAGGTGTTTTTCGTATAATTCAGCATTGCAATAAAATAAAATGTCAATCTTTTTTTTGGATGATTATGATATGAATAGATATGCATTTAAATATTGATACTAAATCAGTCATGGCGATAATATCAGAAAACAAACAGATATATTACTTTTGGAACATAATGGGATTTGGGATTTATTCGGTGTCCTTCTGTAAGGTCACATCATCTACTCCAAAGCTCATATATCAAACAGTCCGTTATACCGTGGAAAATTCATGGTATCTGAGTATTGAAATCACATCAATTATGAAGTCGTAATGATTTCCGGATTCATAAAGAGATTCCCGATAACCCGGAAATTGAGATTCGATACTAAACGAATTTCCAGGAGTTGTGCACAATTTAATCAACTCAGCAGGAAACCGTTCTAGTTCAAAACGTAGAGTTTGAACATAATACACAGATATAGCAAAATATAAGTATTACACAAAAGATTAATTTGTTTATGATACGTATTTCGAATAAAACTGACGAATGACTCTAATGACTTTTTTTAAAGAACCTCTTTATTTATCTATGTATATAATAACTACATACTTAGTATAAATATGCCCTATCTAAAAGAAACATTTTTTTTTGAAAAGCTATGTGAACAATTATACTGTATCTTGAACCACCTACTTCTTAGTGTGTTAACAAACCCTGTTAAATCTTTGTGCTGCTCCAGGTTGTTATACAATAAACCATAATAAATCCATTGCCAAACATTTGCGTCATTTTCATTTTTGAATACTGTTTAAAAAATCTCTTTTGGATCACCACTATTGTTACACTGGTTAAATTTCTTATTTATTTTTTTCCTTACACCATTTCCATGTATCATTCGAAATTCCGCAATCTCGTAACAGATGTTTCATTGAATGACGAAAATTTCCAAGAAACAATTCTTAGGCAGTGACAATAGATTCAACAATACTGAAATTCCGCTTGGCTACTGGTTTTTGCTCAAAAAGAGTGAAAACGAGCTTTATTATCTTCCTCATATGCTGTTTTTGTTGCCGTTTGGTTATTTGCTGGATTTTCAAACATTGTCTCCCTACTGTCTTTTTCCATTTTTTCAATTTTTCAGAACTTTCGCACTACCAATTTGGTTGAAACGTGATTCAAATTATGTATTTCTAAAAAATTAAAATTTTGAATTGAAATCAATAACTTTCACCGCATCCAATATTCTACAAAGTGGGATCTAGCAACACTGCTGGCTAATACCACGACTAACATTTAATCATATCCAAAAGAAATTTTTGCAAGTTTCATCACAGAAGCAAAGGTAATTTTGGCAGATTCACATTTTGTCTTCAATCGAGGACCGCCTGCCCGGTACTGATGATGCCCAATAAGCTGAAACAGCTGACTACCGGTGGCTCTCGAACCTTTTTCTTGAATCATTCCGTTCAATGATGAAAACGAGACTTTATTTCATAATATGTAGTGGTTAAAGGAAAATCTTATACCATAGAAATTTTAATGGTGTCAACTGTACTATCTTAATAATTTTTCTTAATGTCCTACGAGAATCGGCTTCCCTCATCATAATACAAACAGCGCGAGAAACGAAAATTTTTTATTGCAATTATTTTAATAGATGTCATGCCCTCTTACTTCTATCCAGCATGTTCATTGAAACCTTCATCATTTTCATGGCGCTTTTTCCTGTAACAGCCAAAATAACGACCAAATAAAATTTGACAAATGAGAACAATAAACATTTTTATGTTGGTAACTTTTGTGTTCACGAAATATTTCAGTTATGTAATCATTCTCAGGTTTTTTACTCGGTTTTGAATATTTATGCACAGAGTAAAATATGACTTGTTTGAACAGGGTTTATGTACGAGGGGTGTACATAATTATGCAATTCGGAGTTGATGTATTCAAATTCATGGAAATGAACGGATATAATACTATGAGCTGTTGTAGGTACTGTATATTGTAACTTTCACAGTGTTTTGCCTGGATTTATGGTGTAGGTATACTTTATATATTATATATTGTTATAGTCACAAAATTAGCTATTCCCCAGGCCAATTATTCGAAATGAGGTTTTGAAATGAAATTCTCGTATAACCTTAGGGTTCAGTATTAGTCAGAAAACTTAATAATATAGTGCGATTGTTGATTTTTTTTAATTTTGAGAAAAAAAATCTATGAGATTGAATGACAAAAACTGTTCAGGTCATTTTCTGCTCTAATTCTGATGTTGATGTGTATTTTTGTTAACCACCCCTTGAACAATTTGATATAATAGTCTATATACTATAGTCTACAGACTATTTTATGGTTTATGGATTTTAGCCTTCGACTGTTTTCACATAAATAATAGTGTGCCGTCGTGTCGTTGTGTTCGTTATATTTTCATTAAGTACTACAATTTTTTTGTTTGTTGAAATTTATTGGCGAAATAGTTCTGCATGTTCAGTTTCGATGGTATCCTGTAAATCGAGACATTAACTTTGTAGAACGCACCTCATTTATTCGGCAAACAGACTATAGAAAGTACAGTGGCTGATTACAGTCCTGTCAGTAATGACAGGACTGTAATCAGCTTTTTAAATAAACCCAACACCAAATCATTATTTTTAACCCCTCGACACGTGTTTCAATTACCAAGTGATCA